CCAGGAAAAGCGAAACGACTTGTCAGCCAATGTTTGGCTTTTCTCGATCCAAAAAGTTTTCGAGAAGCAGACTTGAAAGAGGGGGAAGCGATTCGAGTGAGACGTGAATGAAGAATTGCATTATTTATAAATTGAGTCGAAAATATAAAACTAGCATAAAAAATGATTATTAGGTTCAGAAAAATTTTTTGCGGTCACATTGTGAATTGTTGCATTATAATGCAACTTTTATATATAGCAAAAAGGATTAAGAAAAAAGTAGAAAGAGAGAGAGAGCGAATAGATGCAGAGAAAGAGAAGGGGCAGAAGAGAAATAAACGAAGCGGCCGATGAAGAGAGAGTACGAAGAGAAATAGCCGGCACAATCACGTGCGGGTTCGAAAGGTCAAGATCAAGTTGCCGAGAGAGATGCGATCTGGAACCCGCGAATACAGAGAGAAAAGGGGAGGTACGACGAGAAAGCGTGGGAGAAAGGAGGAGAATAACGCGCTCTCCTGTACCATCGACTTTAAAAATAAGATGGCAATCGGCCAATGCTCCTATTTGACTATACACGATTTTTTAAAATCAATTTTCACTTTTCTTTTGCCTCGTAGACATAAGAATGTGATGCTGCACGGCAGTTGGATGATAGCCGGACAAGAGCGATTATATTTCGCGCAGTTTCATGTAAATCTAATAGGAATATAATACGTTTAACGCGTTATATGTTGATTTTATGGTTAAAATATAGTTACAGTTTGGTTCTTTATAAAAGAAAGGAAAGAAGAGATAAGACAGCACGTTCTTTCAATATTGAAGAAGATGCGTTTATCTCTAAAATCCTTTGGGTACATGGTCGAGGTAGCTAGTCAGGGATCGCTACTCCGAATTGGGGAGTCTTAATGAAAGCACGTGCGGATTCGCCTTTGTTGCTCGCTAAAGATTTCGACACAGCAGACGCAGCTTAATTAAGCGAAACCAGTATTACATACAATCCTGTCCGTGCTGCGTTTACACGTGCCGGTGAATACCCACGTGAGTGCGCGTTCAACTATAACGGGTGTCTCAAATACAATCGGTTATAATAGAGTCACCCGCGTATTTAAATCTTGCATATTAATATTCATTTTTTTTACGTTGTATAATTTTTTTTAGTATGGATTTTATATCTGCAATATATTCGATTTGACTGTCATACGGATTTACCATTCTTCTACCTACATTTCTACAAATTTTCTCTAACTCGAAAAATGGCAATAGTTTTGCAAAAGTTGGATCTACTATTATAAAAAATCATTTATGAAAAGACATTTGTTTTGAAATATTATCTTTAAAATTTTAATTCATAGAATATAGACATAAACAATATTTTACTTAGAACATTTTTCATATATTGTACTCAAACGCTGGAAGAATCGCTACGATCTCATGTGATAAATTAAAAAATAAGCTGCGAGAACATCATGATGCAGAAATTCAAATACTATTTTTAGTTACATGAACATCTGTTTTACATCGCATCTCGAATGGTCGGGTTTATTATAATCCTGCGCGATTAACTGTGAGTCAAAGATGGGTGGTGGACGAGGAAAGATCTCGCGAAAAGTAGCTTGTGCAGATCTGAGGCAAAGCTCGACTTTAAATGGAATCCCGCTCGTTTTGAGAAGCTGCATACAGTTTAATTAAGCCAGACCCATTTCGCTTGTGTCTACAAACGGTATTTTGCAGTAATGCCTCGACCAGCTCTCTCTCTCTCTCTTTCTCTCTCTCTCTCTCTCTCTCTCTCTCTTCTTCTCTGTTCAACTTCTCTATAGAACGGGTGCCAGTTGAAGGAAGTCCAAGTTCGCCTAAGTCTCGACTCTCGAGTGTCCGTCCTAATGAATTGCTAAACTATCCCGAATCGCCCCTCAAACGAAAGCTCGTCTTGCTTGAACGGCTAGCCCGCTTTGTACTCCGTTTAATACTCGATTAATCAAGAGTATTAATTTCGACAAAAGTAAGAAAGTTTGAAAAGTTGAGAAAATTTTATCGGTAAATAGTTAATAAAAAAATGATTAGAATTAACTGCTTGATATTAATTTCAACGGAAAAGAGAAAATTGGTATTAAGAAAATTTAGCTTTCATCAATTTAGGAAGCAATGGAGAATAATTAATTTTTTTTTATAATTTAGTCTTGTACATTTATATATAAAACTTTATTGTACTTTTTCAAATTTATTTAGCGAGTTAATTCAGGATTATAATATTTCGAGAGCAATTACTTTTAATTCAAGGAATTTTCTGATATCAATATTGTTATTGTTTTATAATTTTAGTCACCTTATTCTGTATAGTAAATATTTTTTAGAAGTGCAAGTGTAACAAGTAACAAGTTCTACTGCTTATAATTGTATCTTAATTGCTTGCTAATGCGTGTAGAGAGGTGCAATAAATTCACTGGTATAATTAAATAAAGATTGGTATCCAATTACATGCGATAAATTATAATTTGATTACTAATAGTTGCTGGAATAATGAAGGTTGGTTGATTACGTATTCCAAGATTCTCAGAATAGCAAACTCTTTCACAGCTTAATGTCGCAACAAATAATATTACGTAGAAACTAATAATATATAACCCCTATATCATACATAGTATAATTAATACAATTATGAAATTCTAGCATTAATAGTTAATTGTGTAAGAGACTAATAAAATACGAATAAAAAAATATAATAGGAAAGAGAGAGAGAGAGAGAGAGAGAGGGAAAGAAAGAGAGAAAGGCAAAAAGAGTGAAAGACAAGGACAAATGACGAATGTGCAACAAGGGGTGATGATGCAGCAATATGGTGGGGGTGGACGCAGGAGGAGGGAAAAGATATCGGAGCGGGGATAGAAATAAAATTACGAGGCTGTTTACAGAAGGCTGTTAAAGCGATCTAACTCATGGCCGGCCATTGCTCCCGCCAGGCTTGGCTACGCACTTGCGACGTTATTCACGCTTTGTACAGGTCGCCTCAAACGTAACTTTAGTTTTACGACTCGAGAATCAAGAGTAGAGAATTGCTTAAATATTGATATCCTATATTATAAATTTATTAAGAAAAAAAATAGCGTTACGTTTATTTCACGAAATACGGGAGCAAGCATAGCTCGATGATTTCTTCAAATTGAAGAACAGAACAAATGGAAGAGGGAGAGAGTGTATTATATACGCGTTCTCGCTTCAGTATCCTCGTCCAGCGACTCGCAAGCGAATTAATACTCGACTGTTACTTCGCTTGTGCACGTTGCACCCCAAGGCATTCTGCCCTTTGAGGGCAATTCCCCCCCTGATCCGCATTCCCGCCTTCCTAACCACGTCTTTGTCGAAGTAAACTCAACGACTCCAACGCAGGAATTCCGTGCGAAGTATTTATTCATCAGCGTACCGGGGGTACGCTGAACATAGCCGTTACAAGAATTTCATAATGCCGCTGTCACGCGCTGTGCCATTGATTGAAGGATCACCTTTCCCCCTTACCTTTTCCCCCCTTCCTCGCTCCTCGTTAATTTCCTGCCACCACAAAAATGTTGCCAGCGATTAGGAATGATGAGAGGAAGTTTCTGTAGTATCCTGTGAAACGATTTATACAGGAAGATATTGATTTTCAGCAACATTTTAATTTTTAGGAGGTTTTATAATTTATAAAATAAAGTGGACAAAAAAAAAGTCACTAAAAATTTTTTGCTTAAAATTTATTTATATTTTTTTAAATTAAAAAGATGCATAATATTATTGATTAGAAAGGTGTGTATGACTGGCCTCAATATTCTCGATGAAAAAAATAATATTCGCGTCCTGAAGAAGCCGTAGTGAGAAGACATTCGATGTTTCCGGGACACCTTGTGTATATGTGTATATATATATATATATATATGCCTAGTATATATACATGCCTAGCAGACACATAGATATAAGGACACGTGGATAGAAATGCGTCTACTTACGCTTGAAACACGTCCACTTCGCAACTCGCAGGATATAATACCGTTTGATGATGTCATTAAGCCAGAGCTGGCTTATTGTTTCTCGTAAAATGTACGTGCAAACGCGTCATCTCTCTCTATCTCTGGATGGTTTTCTTAGTTAAGCTTTGTCCATACATGTCATCGGAAGATATTCTTCTTAACAGGATATTCATTGTAAAAAGAGTTAAGGCCGACAGTTTATTTTCAAAGATCATTCGACGAAGAATTGTCAAATCGTTTTAAATTTATATTTTTTTAAATTGAGATTACAAAATTTCATACTTTTTAATTGGGATTAAAATTAGGATTGTAAGAATAGATTTTAAGGGATGGAATGTTTTAAAAAAATTTTAATGATCGCAAAATCCTTTGAATATATATATATAAAATATTAGATTATATTGGTACTTTAAAAATTTATTATATATCTGTCAAATAAAGTTAAGTCAGCGTTGGATCTTTTAATACACGTCTTCCGCGAAAGATATTTTAAAGAAAAGTTCAGGTCACATAAACTTTATCTAACAGAAAATATAGAAAAACGCGATACAAAAGAAATTTTGCAATTTAATATTATAAACATGTGAGAAACATCAGCATCCATTTTTTTTCATTATTTCTTAAATTTCTTTTTTTCTATATTTTTTTTGTTTTCTTTCTTTTTTGTGTGAGTCTACCTTAATTCGAAACTTCCGCGCTCTCGTTCTTTCATCGTCGCGGTCTGTATTTTCTAGGATATTAACTATAAAGCCAGTTATAAATTTATAATTAAACGCAATTTAGTGCATGCAGCATGCACGTATTCTGACGAAAGCGCCACCGAAAGTAGTCGTCATTTCGCACTGATTGAAACATCGTTCTAAGACAAAATTTCTTAACATCTCGTATCGTGATTTTTAAGAATGATTGATAATGCGAGACGACGTGCATAAAAAATTATAATCTGATTTTAATGTTAGCGTTGATAATATTTTTAATAATAATAATGTTACAATTGTAACGTGATGATTTTTTTTTTATTGCAGGAGAGCTCACCTTAGGACTTGCCTCGAGAAGCTGAAGTTGCTGGTGCCACTTGGGCCTGAAACTTCGAGGCACACTACGTTGGGTCTTTTGACCAAGGCCAAGCGTTTTATCAAGGTGAGTCTGATGGATTTTATCAAGGTAGACTTGATGGAAAATTGAGGGCAAGTCGTAGAAAGTACAAAAGATAAAAAGTTTCTGAAGACAGATTATTCTTTTATCTTCGACAATTAGTGATTACCTCAAGTTGGTATTCAAAGTTTGTCATACAACACTCAAAAAAGTGGTTTTGCAACTACAGCAAAAATTTTCTGGGTGCGCAAAATTAACTGAGGTACATAAATGATTAGCAAATACTGTGATATCGCATATGTTTCGCATTTAATCAATCTAAGTGACAGAGACAGAATTTATATCTGAACTGTTTGTGAAATTTAGAAAGAATGTTTTTCTGTGGCGCCTATCCATGTTAAGGCCAATCATACTTGTTATAAAGTTTGGCTGTGGTAGACAGAAAAAATTAGCGGCAAGAAACAAATGAATATATAATCCTCACGTCTAACATATTTGTATAACGCGCTCAATCTATCTAGCTCTTTTAAACAATTTTTCTCAATTTTTCGATGCTGCAGTTATAATTGGCAGTTATATTTCTCACAAAGATCGTTCTGTAGTATCGAAACTCATATTTATCCAATGCAGTGATTAACATTTGGCAATGGGACCTAAATTTTCTAGAAGATATTATTAGAATGTTGCTGCTATAAATTCTATATGTAACAGACAATATTCTAACAGATACAAAAAATAGCGATAAATTTTTGTTGTGACACCTAGAAATCTACCTATATCAGCAAGACATTTTTTTGAGTGTTAATAGTGTCATATATAATGAGAAAGAAAAATTATCAGTTTGAAAAATCATACAAGACCTAAGGTTCGAGATGTAACCGGTGGCGCATTCGAAACTTATTGTGTTTTATTGTTAGTTGAAATAAGCTCGGAAGGAACAAAAATGGGGGCGGAGAAAGAGCCACGCGATATAAAAAAAAGGCAGAGTAAGAAGGTGTCGCAGCAAACGGAGTGGTGACGCACACAATGGATGCGTAGTTAGTAAATTACATACTGCCAGGGACAATGGCATGTGTGTACTGTGTGAGTGAGTGCGTGTTCGCGCGTCGGTGTTTTCCACGCAGTCTACAGAGTGACGCAGATAGAAACACACACAGATTCTAACAGGTGACGAGGGTGCTAAGCAACACACGTCTCTTGTTTCCGTTAGCAATAATAGTCTTCGCAAATAATACTTAAAATATACACTATTTGTTCGTTCACTCTATGTACATATATACACGTTCCAATGCATATTCTCGAGGTGTACTTAACGTGATAGTATGACTCGCTCGTTTTTTATCTAATTTGTTCTATTTCCTTTTTTGAGATTTTACATTTCTTCTTTGTTTTCGTAATATAACGAAAAATGTCTTTAATGTGTTTAGATACTGAGTTTTTATCTTTCGGGAAAAAAAGAAAAAATTTTAAGGATAACCGAAAAGAAATTTTGATAATAAGATGTATAAATGTTCATGAAAATTATCAACTTAAATTATTACATAATTTTAATAGAAATAAATTTAATTAATGAGAGACAAATATTTAAAAATGATAAATATTATTTTATAATAATATATCATATAAAAAGGCGTTTACATGCTGATGTAATTTATAATCATTTGTCAGAATTTGTGCACTTGTATACTCGCGACACCCTGTAGAATGGCAAGCAGCAGTGCGTATCCACCGTTCATTCGTGCATGCATAGTCCGCGTGGGAGACTTTAGCGTGTACATCAATCTGACCCGCAGGTACCTATGTACATTATATGCTTGCGTTAGAAAAATGTTCACTAGTCCGCCATTTGAGAAGGAAAATTGCTGCGCACAGTTTAAATGAATCCGTAAGATTATTATAATACCAAAAATATAGTGATATTTTAATGTAAAAAAATCATTTTAACACGCAAATATGCAATATTTGGTTATCAGAAAATGTTTATAAGAATATGTCGTAACATCGAAACTCTTTCGGGATTCGACATTTCGCGTGCAAAGATTCAGAGACAATAATAGAGTAATTATGATAGCAGGGTGAAAAAATTTGATCGACGAAATAGAGGAAGGGAAGATGGAGGACGAAGCAAGTAAGGTAAAAGAGGATAAATGGAAGCTAAGAAGGCAGCGGGAAGAGGAGTTGAGAGACACGAAAGTGTCGTTTCTCTGCGAGAACAGCTTATATATCCCCACGAGGAAGAATGCTCAGAGAAAGGGGTGAAATGAGGGAGGAGGGGTGAGCAGAGGAGCGAAGCAGACTTGTATTTTGCGCGGTTGGCGACGTGTAATTCTTCATTTGTCCGCCTCTCTGAACTTTTTCCCTCCTATTTTTCGCCTTATCTTCGTCTTATCTTTTTCACACTTTCGATGAGACATCTTTATCGCCATCTTTATGGCTAATTATTTTACGCTCTCTCATCTTTATTTTTTACTCTATTCATCTCTTGGCATAACATTTTTATCAAGACTTTCTGAGAGAAATTTAGAATTTTTTAAAAATGCTTTAATATGATATTTTATTGTTATCTATATATGTAAAAAAAAATTTACATCAACTTTGTAATGACATTGAACATGTTTCTTATTAATTACGTGACAAAGTGTTTGCAAGAATTTTGATGCCAATTATACCACAGTCAGTGACACAACGTAAACGGTAGGAGTGTGAGCTGAGTTGTGAGGTCGGTCGATTTACTTTACGAAGAGGTTCACCCTGTCTCACCCTCGCCTTAACCTCGTTTTATCTACGTTGTAAATTCATATCGAGCCGAATGGAAATCGAGCCGAATGGAAATCGAGCACGAAGTCAGGAACTTTCCTACGAGCGTGGTACCAGCCACATCGGCATAAACACACACGCAGATACATTTTGCCTATCGTGTGGAACTGTTATCTGCGATCAGGTGATTCCGTCACCTGCTACTTCCACCCTAGTGCCATCCACCCCACGCTCGGATCGCCATTGATTTCTAGCCACCGTCTTACTATTCCAAGTTCGCACTGCGAGAATATACAAGACCGATAATAATGGCGAAACAATCTTTATTTGCATACATTTATTTGGGAATGATCAGTGGCTACTCCAATAACATTTAATTAACATTTGCTATTATGATCAAATTTTTTGATAATTCAGATTTAAAATTTTAATATCTCATAATCTCGAATTTCAAAGTTTTAAAATAAAATCTAGAAAATAAATCAGAAACTGAAATCTCTCAAGAGTGTAATTTCGTGAACTTTCGAAATGAGATTCGAAAAATCTTATAATTAATGCACTTCAAATACTGCGTAGTAGTATATGCATTAGTGCTCTATTATTTCCCGTTCGATAATTTGCACCGGAATTGGCCAGTCTCTTCTAGGTAAGCACTCATTGTTGCGTTACGAAATGGCATGTTGTGTACAATAGAAAGGAAACCGATTATCGGCCAACATCGGTCAGGACAAAGAGAACGAAAAGATTTATATATATATATATATGATGACAAATGAATGATTAAATTAAAAGTTTTACGTATAATGAGAATAGATTTACATTTTCTCACATACGATTAAAATAAAGAACTGCGAATAGTCTCCTATAGCCGTTGTACAATATCATTATTACTATATCGTAACTATATTAATATCTTTAATAAATCTTTTAGAAAATTAATATAATCTCTACTATATTTTATTTTATTTATCTATATATATATA